AATTACTCTATTCACACACAGAAGAAGGCAATGGTAACCACTTCTGGATCATCTGCCAAGAACGTATATGAACAGGTCCCAGTCCGAGAAAAGGATGGAAGGATCCTGTTCATATGGACCTGTCGTCAGACAGAACACTAAAATAAATGAAAATATCGCTCTGGAGTAGGCCTTTATCTTGAAGAGTGAAACTACGCTGAACTTATGTGTTGTAATAACGCTGAAGCTGTGTAATAATGGTCTCTTAGAAAGGAAAACACTCACCAATAAAAGCTGCAGGTTTTATCTCTCCAATCTGTTTCTCATCGTGCCAAAGATATTTAGCGAGCACAGAGCAGTTCTGTTTTTCAAAGCATCGTAAGCCCGTATCCAAATTCAGTACGTCACTGTGCGATTTTAACAATTCAACACACAACTTATTCACTAATGCGTACTCATTTCGCCGGAACGAAATTGATTTTGTTGTTCCGCGAAACAGAACAGTCGAAAGCCAATTTGTGCGGATTACAATATGTTTTGCGCTCCAAAAATTGGGATTATGATGCATTGTGTGGTCTTTGCTGTACCCAGTGACCAGGCATTTATGTAGATTGTAACTGAGCTGGGGGTCTGATCTCGTGACCCTCGAGACGTCGAAAACGAGCAGAGAGAATGTTGGTTCGGAGCGTCCCGTTTGTTACAAGGCGTCGGCGTTCGGTAGACGCACTGCGAGGTTGAATGAGCTAATTTTATCTGTAATAATGTATCTGAGCGGGTCAGGGGGTCTCAGCCCCTGTCCCGCTGAAGTATTTTGTTTGCCCGATGCACAATGTTGCGTCACGCTGTGTAATTAAAATAGAAGATGCGGTCATTAAATATTTTATGTGGGCAGATGATTAGATAGCAGATCAACAGGGTTCTTACTCAGATTTTACCAGATTAATCCGTGTAGCCTGTTCGAGTTCACAATTGTGTGAATTCGTGATTCCGTTTAGACTTTCCCCCCCCCGTGGAATCGGCCAATCTGTAGGCCTGGACCTACTAAGGTCACAAGACATAACAAGTGCTGAAAAATGTAATCCGTACCGGAATACACAAAATTTCCACACTCGTTCTTTGCAGAGTTTTGATTTTAAATACATCCAACTCCTCCCAATTTTTTTTAAAACGTTTCCCAAAGTAACTAAAGTAATGCAACCCACCTTAACCCAAAACCAACGTAATCTACCTTTGTTACATGGTTACCTTGGTTACCGTATGGATACGAGGTGCGATCGGAAAGTTTCAAGACTGCGCCTATAAAAAAACCCGTACACTTATCTCAGGTATTAAATTCATCCATCACCCTCGAAGTAGTTCCCCTGGGAGTGAACACAACGATCCCAGCGCCGCTGCCAAGCCTGGAAGCATCCCTGGAAATCTTTCTTTGCCAGCCTGTCAAGCACCATCTGCGATTCTGCCTGAATCTCTTCTATCGTCTCAAATCTCCTTACCTTTAGCTGAATTTTCATCTTTGGGAAGAGGAAGAAGTCACACGGAGCTAAATCCGGCGAATAAGGAGGGTGCAGGATGACGGCCATGGTGTTTGAGGCCAAAAACTGCCGAACTGCTTCTGGTCCTCAGACAGGAGCCTTGGCACAAACTTGGCTGCGATGCGTCGCATGTGGAGTTCTTCCTTTAGAACCAGCTGCCAGGTCCCATAGCCTATCCCAACAATGTCGCACAAGTCGTTGATGGTACGACGTCGATCTTCGTAACAGTTTCGGGCGTTGTGCTCGAAGATGGTCGTCCAGAACGCTCGTCATCATCGACAGAGGTTCGGCCATTTTTAAAACGTGAATGCCACACAAAAGTTTGTGCACGACCCATTGCGGACTCCCCAAATGCTTGCTTTAGCATTTCACAGGTTTCCGTAGCCGTTTTGGCGAGTCTTTGGCAAAATTTGATGCACACGCCATTCCGAAATCGCAGGAGGGTCGGTGTAATGCACTACCAAAACGCCCGTAACTAAGAAACAAATGCTAATTCGATGATGCCGGCTGGCACACTGATTCACTATGAATGTAGCGGCAGAAGCTCGTACTACATCCGGTTCGCACTCTATTGACACAGTCTTGAAACTTGCCGATCGCACCTCGTAT